ATACATATATAAGCATATGCATATGTCTGTGTGTATAATATATATAGTAAAATTTTCTGTAAAGCAGCAAAAAAAGAAAAAATATATCAGCCATGTCAAAAAAAAAAAAAAAAAAAAAAAAAAAAAAAAAAAAAAAAAAAAAAAAAATATATATATATAATATATATATATATTAAATATAAATAATAAATAAATGGATATTTACTACACTCCATTCCTAAAAACTTGCTATGGCACTTTAAAAAAAAAATCAATTTCCCAATAAAAACATTATTTTCAAAATGGAGAAATTATAGATTGAATATGTAGAAATACATATGTCAGAGTAATGCCTTTGATTACATGTTTATATGCATAAATGTAAATGTATCTCTGATGTTTTTGTCTGTGCAATGATGATTTTTATACAAGGATATCTCATGATTGTTAATTATTGGGGATACTTAGAAAAAAAAATAATGCAGAGGAAAAATATAGTAGGAAGGGGTAGAGGTGCACGGAAAACAAAAAGCAGATATCTAAACTTTTTTTTTTTTTTTTTTATCCAAAACTATGTACCATAAATACATTAGTATCACACCCTTGACAAATGCATGTTATGAGAAAGTAATAATCATGTTATGTCTAAAACATCTTTTGGTTCTAAACCAGGAAGTAGCATACATTACTTTCTTCTTTCTTTATTTTTTTCACCTTTATATCATAATAAATAATTTGGGTTGGGAAACCAACATTATAGGAAATTACATTTGGGCTACTCTGACTAATCTTAATTAGTAATTCAGATTTAAAATGGACTATGCAAACAGTCTAGGTATCCTTCAATTAAAGGAAACATTTCCTTTTTTTCCCCTTTCTTTTCTAAACACTGCATATGCACCATCGTCATAACCTGGGCATATTATTAAGATGGGAGATATAATCAAAACCAGTTAGCTATATCACTTGCTCTGCGAAGATATTAATTCTCATTTATGAATTTTCTACTTTTGTTGTCATGAACACTAGTATTGCAATATCAGGTGTCGGTGAATAAATACAATTATATTTCCTTTAAGATTGTAGATGCATTACCGACATATTCCAAGCATACTTATATGATGGTACAGTCACAATAACATATCTGACACATTTTGTAGACTTAACAATAGGAAGTTGCATATATTTCCCTATCTTATACATATATATTTTTTATTCTCCCCTTTATATAATAAGTAATTGAAATTAGAAATATATATTATGAAATAATTACTCTTGACAGTTTTCAAGTAATATCAAATGAGAAGATTTTACTTTCACTTATTTTTAATCTTATTCAGCTATACCAGGAGAGTGCAAGAAGCACACAATAAACCTAAACAGGATATACAACCTATTTACATTGGTCCTGAAACTGTACAGACTCACATTCAACCATATCTTTGGGCAAGTCAATCCCTAATCTTCATAAACCATTTCTTGAAATGAACTGTCATGGAAAGTCAAACAACCAATAACTCACCAAGAGCATGGACTGCCATTCTTGTCCCTTTACAAAGACATGACTGATTCTTGCCTTCTGGGACTAAGGCTCAGGAGATGAGGATACCTGCACAGCTCCCTTACCAATCTAGATATTCTGCTTGATAGCAAGCAGCATATCAACCCGATGGAGGTGAACAGTACACTAGCAATATAAACAATCTTGCAGAAACAACTGGACCTTTAAAAATCCACTAGGATTTTCAGAGGCTTCTAACTTCCTCCTTGCAACAGCCAGCTAGTGTCTAACGTGTGCCTCAAATGTCAAATTTGCATCAATCTTTACACTCAATCTTCAGCACATTAACATCCTCCATCACATGTTCATCAACAAGAGACTAGGATGAAACAGAAAAACGCTCCTTGATCAACCAAGTCACTGCTTTTTCAGCAGCATATCCTGTCTTCAATACCTGCCAACATTTGCAAGACCACTGTTGACTGAGGCATCATCATCATCTATCCACACTATTCAGCATAACTAAAAAGACTGGACTAACAACAATATCAACCCAAAGCTGTGATGGCAAGGATACCCATTATGTTCATTGTGTCATTTTGTTTATTGTCTTTTCAGATAGATAGCACAACAAGTGCTTAATCACAAAGGAGTCAATTACTACTCTTACCTATCTCTCCTGTTTATGCTTATTTTTTGTTTTATGCACCAGAATGCATGACTTTTGATATAATTTTTAAAAGAATAAAAAATTTTGTTTACCTTCCCTTTAAATGCTATTGCTCAAATTTTACCATAGAGATGATGCCACTACTATTGGAGAGAAACAAGCCCTGTCCCATGAGCTTTGTCCATAACAGCCATGGCATTTATGTACATGCCACCTGGTAGCACATTGTTACAGGCAATAACATTCATATTCCAAATTGTTTAGATGCATATCTCCCAAACCAGTTAATCTAATTTATTTTTACTTGGAAGATTAAACTGTATAAGGATTTGTGGACCTATGAATTTTTTTTTTCTTTTTTTGTGCATTAGGGGGTTGATTAAGTTACCCTATGCAGCAACATCTAGGTCAAACGATCATACTGTTTTATTACAACAATGTAGATGGATCCAATAACAGTAAAATCAATATGAATATCAAATTTAAAACAATATACAAAATAAAAAATATTTTTTTTTTGTATACATATCAATGACAAGTAGGCAAATGCGAAGCAGTCAAAAGAAAATAAAGATAGAGATATCAAGCAACAATTGAATTAAGAAAAGAATTAACAAAAAAAAAAAAAAAAAAAAAAAAAAAAAAAAAAAAAAAAGCAACCACACTAGGAACACCTTGTAAAAAGAAATGTTACATACAAAAAAATAAAAAAGATGAAAAGGCAGCAGAACTCTACTCGTACAAGCAAAAGGGAGTAAGAAGATAGATTGCAGAAGATTTAGTGAAAAAAGAGACGTGACACTCCAAAGACGAGAGAGAACGTTCCTAGAAACGAGTAGAACAATGCAGAGAAGAAAAGAAGAAGAGAAAACATCCACAGATCATGAAAAGAAATATGTGAGAGAACAGAAGATCCAGTAAAGAGGGAGAGGTCTAAGAAATAAGAGAAGAGGGGACAATGAGAATGGAACATCTAAAGAAGAAGCAAAGTGGGACAAGTTACGATGACAGTAATAACTGTCACAAAATAAAATATTTCCAAAATTTTACTCCCTTGGCTATGTATCTTGAAGCACAGCATCCCTAAACTAATACAAAATATTCACACATAAATAGATAAATCAATTTAAAAAAACAAATAACTGAAATTATTTGCTTATATCATTCAAATTCAAAGCAAGCTTTATACTAATATAAATATAATGATAGAAAGACGAGATCCGCAATATGCTTAAAGGATGTAAAGCAGAGATACAGTAACATTTTCACACACTCATGCACCAAAGCCAAAATCCTTACCTGGGCTTTCCTTGCTCTTCCACTGCTAACTTTGGGAGACTAGCATGAAAGCAACACAAAAGACAGTGTTATATGATTTCCCAATTAATTGTTGCATGCACTCATGTCAACACAAAGCAATGGTGTAGATTTTTGTTAATGTCAAAGATATGGGAAAATATTAATTGATAAGGTGAGAGTTCAAAAGTCCTTGAAAAAAAGAAAAGGAACCAAAGAAAATGAGCCATTTTTTGCATGCATTAGTGTCCCACCCCTTATAATCTACTGATTTTATGTTATATCTGAGAGTATATAACTGATTTGAGAAACCATCAGGTAATCTATTTCTGGAAAGATTAAACTGAATCTACATTTGCTTATAATTTAAAAAAATACATGGATTCATTTTATTTTATGTTCTTCATACACATCAAACAATAATCCTCTTTAGTTCATTTCAGCCTTACTTCCCTTACTGTTCACAGACTAAGGCTACTAGACAGAGAAGATAGGTCCTAGAGGAGAAAAAAGGTTAATAAAAATGAATAACCTTGAGATTTAACCCCAAATCCTTTCATTGTTCAAGGTGAAGAAAACTGTGGACATCAAACAGCCATAAGAAGAAAAGCTGAGTATGTTGCCACACACTTTGGCCTGCCATCACATTATACCCATTTCATTCACAGACAAAACAAGAAGTCTGAGGTAAAGCTCCACATCCAAGACCTACAAGACCAGGCTGGCAATAGGAAAAGGCCTTACCTTGGAGGTGTCTGACGCTGAGTTGGCCAGTGCTCCTGCCTCCTCTTTCATGATGTAGTTGGGGATAATACGTGACTTCTTCTTGAGCTCTGAGACCAGCTGTGCTACATGCTCTTCAAGGAACTCAATCTTCTCTGCCTTTTTGGCTGCCGACTTCTGCAGTTTAATGATGCGGTCGACCAGGAGCTGCTGTGTCACTAAGGGGTCGTTGAGTGAAGGAAGGTTTTCCTGAGGTTTGGAATGCAGGCAGTTAGGCAATCAGTATCAACTGCCTGTCTTTTTTTTCTTTTTCTTTCTTTTTTTACAATACATATGATTATGGTGTATTAATGTATGTTTTTTTTCGTTACTATAACATAACAAATAATAGTGATAAATAAATAAAGAAAAATAAAGCACAGAAGTGTTATCCACCAGGAACATGTAAATTGTAGCTTTGTTTTTTTGAGAATCATGTTTACAGACAGATGGGCACCTTCATAAGTGCCAAAGAGTCAATTAGTAGGCCCATGTGACCTCAGGTGATTTCTCCTTATTAATATTACTGATACTGTGGTTACCATATAGTGTCAAGAATACAAATAGCATTAAAACAAAAAAATATATATTATTGAAATAGAGGAAAACAGGTGAGATAGGTGGGACTAGAAATTAACTTATGGGTGACTAAACATTTGAGGATTCAGCTGTGTTAACACAATAAATAAACCAAAATTAAATAATGGACATGACATCTGTCCACTGCCATGGATAAAAAAATATAACCCACCTGAGACTGTGGACTGCTCCCATTGGTGCTCTGATATTCAATGTTATTCAAGGAGGCATTGGAGGAGGCTCGTGACCCCTGGGACAGGGTATCGTGTGGTGTCACAGACTGCGAAGACCTCCCACTTGCTACCCCACCATTGCCACCCCCTCCATTTCCATTTCCACTCCCATTTCCGCTCTCATGGAGTTCCAGACGTTTGCGTAGTTTTCTGCATCTCTCGAGAGATGTCCTATTGCAAAAAAGAGGAATAGATAGGTAAGGATAATAGTAATATGATAGTACTACCACAAAATAATAATCACTTTAAGGTACAGACACTTAAGAATCATAAATCTCTAGCTGACAATATTGAATCCTTTACTGTAATAAAAATAAATAATAAATTAATGAGATAGGAAGTATAATCATAATACAAATAATATAACAATAATACTAATGATTATTATTAATGGATTTTCTTAATAACATTAACATCTATGCAACCTATTCCCAGGCTGATGTTTCATGTTATTGTGTTTTAGCTTTACACTTTTTTCCCCTACATTCCAGATGACATGACTATCACACCATGAAAAAATTTAGCTTGAGGGGCAGTGATGTCAACATGCCATCATGGAAAAAATGGCAGAAGGCTGGGGTGACACAAACTTGCCTTCATGAAAATTTTGGAAGAAAGCTGGGGTGACGGGAATGATTTGCCATAAGTGCACAAAGCTCTTGGAGAGTAATTAGACTTTGTGGGTATTTAGGAAAGGGCTAATTGCATTATAACCCATTGTCAGCCCTGACTGAAAGAGAGCTGGCTCCAGGGAGGACTTTATATCCATGTTCAGGATCCTAATCCTGCCCGCCATGACCGGCAGTGTAGGCTGTGTTACAGAAAATTGAATATTGGGAAAAAAAAAGAAAATAAACAAGAAAAATCTACTTATTGTTATTATCATTTCAGTGAGTCATGGAATACCTACAGTCTAAATGGAGTCTGTGCAAGGGAAATAGTATAAACCATCTCGATAAAGCAAATCAATTGTCAAATATAGATGTTGGAAACTTACAAAAAAACTAAAAAATCCTTATGCAAAAAAAGAAAAAATAACATGGCGTCTTGTCACCACATGAGCGTTTGTGTGCAACTGGCCTACAAGCCAATCCCTCCCACATAAATAGATAAATATTTATGTGTGAGAGATGGCCCCTCAAGAGTGGCCCCTCCAATAAGACTAATGCCCATATTTTAGACCATGTACTGGCAGCAAATCACCCAAATCCAAGAGGATTATAGGACCTTTACTCACTGGTCTCACTTACTTTCAGGGAATTATTGTGCTTTTTCTTCAAGACCTGAATTTCATTCTCCAAGTCTGATGCCTTGGTCGTTAGCTGCTTCATCTCCTCTATCTTCTCTGCAAGCTGCCGCGTTAATTCTTCTATCTGTGGAAAGTACAATAAGGGTAGATTTTGAAACAAGAAAAGGACAGCAAAACCAAACAATAATATGGTCATCACAAATGCATAAAACAAATATACAAAGTGTGAATCATCCTTGGAAGTCTCACTTGAGCATTCTGCATTTCATTTTCTTTGGTGAGATCGGCCTTGATCTTGTTCCTCTGGGCCTTGATATTCTCCAATTCTGACTTCAACTCCCCATGTTCAAGCTCCAAAAGCTGAGTCTGAGGGAGAAAACAATTTGCAGTGTTGAATATGCACATGTATATTTGCAGCTCATGTATGTAGGCTACTGTATGAACATACAGATGGAAATTCATATAAATGAATATGTAAAATGTATACAAATATTCAAATGTATATAAATATTCAACTCAAGCAAATTCAAGCTGTCATCGTACCTTAGATTGTAGGGCAGAGAGCTGACTCTGGATTTGTACATTCTTGTCAGTGAGTTTCTGAGTGAAGGCTAATAGTTCAGCCTCCTTCTGGCGACAGGTGAGTAGGTCGCTCTCTAGCTCGTTGTTGGTTGTTTGGAGTCTTTCATTCTCTTGTGTTGCTGAGGCTAACTGCTCTCGTTCTCTGTCAGAATTACCCATGAGCTTTTAATGGCATTCAATTTAGCTTACATCACTTTTTTTTTTAATCATTAGATACACCTTCATAAAAAAGGATGATAATAATAATTTTCCAAAGATGGGCCAAATCAGGTGATAGCCTAAAATGCCAAATTTATATATCACACTCTCATTCTTCCTTTGTCTCTCTCTACTTTCTCCATTCTTCCTTCTTTACTCTCCACTCTCTTTACCTCTTATTAGTCTTTGTTTATCTTGATTCACTTTCTATTCCTTTCGAATCATTCTCTTCCTCCCTTCTGAGTCTCTCTTCTTTCTTTCTTTCTTTCCTTAACCATCCCCCTGTTCTCATACAAAAAAATAAAAAATAAATAAATAAATAAGGAATAAAGAAGAAGAGAATTCTGACTCCCTCCCACCTTTGTAGCTGCTGCTGAAGATGCGCTGAGTTAGAGAGCTGGAGGTTGAGGTCTCCTGCCTCCTGACGTGCGTTTTTCACTTCTTGCCTAAGGCTTGTGAATAACTTCTCGCTCTCTTCTCTTTCTGACTCATATGTCGTTACCTATTAAAACAGAGCATGAGGAAACAAGACATAAATGAATCAAAATAAAAAATGAGAATGAAGCCTCAAAGGTTGGTAAACGTGTTCAAATTTTCTTTTTAGATTTGGTTGCACAGATCTTTAAAAACAAATAACCAAAAGCTAAATTACCTAAAATTACAAATTACCTAAAGCAAGGAAACTGAATAAGCAAAAAATTCTAATTTATACACAATGTTTTTATGAAAATGACATCAGAAAACTAATGCAACACAACACTGGTAACTGACAAACCTTTGATCTTAAGGAAGTTGCTTCCTCAACTAGTGCTGAATGTTTTGTTTTCAGTGATTCTAATTCCGCTGAAACCTTGTTGAAGGCTGACCCTCTGTCCTCAAAGACCTGTCGTTCCATGATGAGTCGTGCTTTCTCTTCCTTTAATTGCTTGTCTGGATAATGTGGATTGGAGAATCTTAAATATCTATACAGTTATGTTTAATGATTTTAAGTTGTATGTGATCTATGATTCAAATTTACTCAATCCTAAATATATGTACACACCAATTCTTAACCCACTCATTGGAGATGGCATATACTCATACTATGCCTAAGTTTGGCCCAATTAGCATGGCACACAGTAGCATTACAGTTAAATTCAGCTCCATTGCACAGTAAGTTTGTTTTACAAAGCAAATTCATTGCTACCCATATCCACAATGAGACAATATGGTGATATAGTAGGGAAAAGTTTGCAACTCTTATTTCTTTTTTTTTTTATGAAAGAAGTGGAAAGAGCAAACAAACAAATCAATGTGGATAAAACATCAAACTAACTAGCATGGCTTGTGTAAACAACCAATGCATAATAACATCTTTTGGACCAGCTGTCTACAAATTCAATCACTTTTGACATGGTCCTTTCGAACATCTTAATAAGTCACTCTATGAAATCTACCATCAAAAACAGAAATACAACAATTAATCCCCAACAAGAAGTAACAAGGATGCTACCTAGGACATTTGCTCTGGAGTTTTCATCATCTCTGGTGCTGCGAACAACCTTTTCTGCCTCCTCCTTAATTGACTTGAGCTCTTCCTCGTGTTTTGTAATTTTAGTAAGAGCTCGGTCCAACTTGGCTTGTGTTTCCTGGTTTGGAGAAGAGGAGTTCTTTTACATGTGGGTAAATTTCAATGCTAGGTCTCCAAAAAAGAAGAATGAATTCATGATGTCTATCAGATATGAATATTGATTTGAGAGCTGGTAAATGTTTTCATGCAATCACACGAAACACACAGAATTCACAGAATAGCTTGCTTAAAATGGAAAAATTTAACTAAAGCAGAAAATTGGACAAAGAGCAGTAATTTTCATTTACAATTTGTTAAAAATACTATAATCATTTATGGTAATGATTTGCAGTGAGACTGGCCAAGGCAATATTCAAGCATTCAAAGTGAAAATAAGCACGATAAGAGAAATGGATTGTTGTACAATTTGCAAACTGCAAAGAAATTCCCTGGCCCTTCATGTAGCTACTATTCTAGGGAAGGATTGGTGGCATAATATCGCATAATATCACTGCCCTATATCTGCCATTCAAGGGCAAGCCATTTTCCTAAATCAAATCAGATTTTACCAGACTTCTAAAGGCAATTGATCTTCATTAGTTAACCATTGTTAGTATAAAGTAGCATACCTTATGGGCATCCATTTCCGATTTTAGTTTGGTCTGGGCCCACTTAATCTTCACTTCCCGACTACTGACTTCTTCTTTCAGCCTATCAACTTCACGCTGAAAGGAGTTGATCTTCTGGACCTATGAGTGAGAGAATCAAAAGAATAGCATCTGAAATACAAATGACACTGAGGAAAAAACAAAGGAATAATTTGGAACTTTTATATAATATCTTATAAAGGAAGATGAAAACAAAGAATAATAAAAAAAAAAAAAAAAAAAAAAAAAAATCTATAATAGGGAATCAAAAAAGAAAAGAGGGAAAAAATTAAATGAGTTACATACTGAACTTGGGACATGGCAAATAAACACTGGCCTCTATATAAACATACAGGCCTATTCACATATACCACTTAGTTCTCAATATGATCACCTTTGTATCGAGCGTCTGGCAGATCCGTGCTCTTTCGCCAATCAGCATTTTGTTCTTACTCAGTAGCTGTTCTCTTTCCTTTTCCATCTCCTTCATTTTCTTTTCCACTGCCTCCTTCTGCTGTCTGGCAACAATAACCTGCAGAAATACATAGAAATTATATCATTAAGAAGTAAGCATCTAAAACAAACCAGAAACTTATTGACTTTAAATAATCAAAACAAAAATGAACATATTGCATCACCCAGGACCAGCAAAATTGGACTGACATCCTTATTGGATAGCTGGTATCAATATAATCTAAAGGACTGCAATTAACCCAGTCCACCTGGATGGCAAGAATGCATGCTATGCCTACAGTGATATAAGTTCATTAATGTCTTTACACATAGATGGCTCTAAAATGTTAAGTCACTAAGGAGTCAGCTATTATTATCACAAGGACTCTTTGGTGGTTGAGTGCATGTGGAGCCATTTGTATGTAACAAAATTTAAAAAAAATACAGGAGACTACATAAACGTGCAATCATTAGGGTTAAGACTATCCCACACTGTATATAAAAAACCTGAACACTTCTATGGCAACTAAGAATGTGGAAATCGATGCATAAGGAACCAAATAGACCTGTTGGTACAAAAAAAACACTATAAACCAATATATTTACCAAATACATTTGTTTGGCATTTAGAGGGTTTTGCTACCTTATATCAACAATAAGAGTGTTCTGTCATTCATGAAAGTGATGAAACAAAATAAATTCCTAGAGAACTTTCCTGTATCATGTGATAAGCAAGAGCATCTCCTTGTAAAGTTCCTCTTGTTTAACATGGAAAGGACAGAAAGGTCTAACTTGTATTATATTTTTCATATTCAATGGAAAAATATGTAGCCCATATAAATACAGTCACCTTTAACCAACTCACAATGGAAAACATTCTATCCCATTATGGCTAAACCATCGTTCAATCTTGAGTGAAAAAAAATAGAAGTGCAGAAAATATAGACACCTCACTCTCTATGCTTTTGGCAGTGGCATACATGATATTAGGATATGAGGTCATACGGGGATCCTAAGCCTAATTTTGATGGGCTGTATCTCCTCAATACCCAGTCATAGCCAAACAAGCAAACAATTGTTTAGTGTGTAAAAAACTGAGCAGGCTTAACCAATCATGGAATGGGTACTTGTCAACTGGAATTTGGGCCCAGTTAGCCATAATGTGATTACACAATCTAGCAGTTATAAAAATCTTAGGCAAGATCCTTTTTTGTGTACAACAGCAGCAGTACCTAAAATTTTGTTCATCAATTTCAAAAGAAAGCAAGAAAGAAAAAAAGAAAACTGTTCCAATTAACCCCAGAGTCAACAATAATAGGTTATAAAACTATATATCAGTGTATCTTCTTCCTCGCTCATCTCTGCTCTGCCAACAAAGGATCTTATGTGGCACAGAGATTTCAACTTTATCAATTCCTAGTGAACAAAAAGTAGCTAACTTTTCATCAGAACAGATAACAAACTTTGAAAGTTTACTGTCAGTTTTCATATTGCTGACATTAATTTCTTAGCCTAGAAGTTTTAGCTGAGCCAGCTAGTGGGCTGATTTTTTGCATCCTCTACTTCCAGCTCACCAATACAAACCTCTCTCTCTGAAGTGGCATATTTAATGACCATAGACTCCTTGTCCTTGTTGGCAGCCTCATACTGCTTAGTCATTCGCTCTAACCGGGCAGTGAGATCTGTGCGGACCTTGATGTTTTCTGCAAGGTAGTTCTCCTCAGCTTCCTTCAGTCGCTGCTGCCAGCTGCATGCATCTGCCTGAGCCTGTGTATGCACAATCACTGTGTTAAAAAAAAAAAAAATTCGAACTAAAGCAAAATAATAAACTCATCAATACAATTCTGATCTATAGTAAACTCATACACTTAATAATTTTGTCAATAATTCTCCTATCTCCTACCATGATTAAGAACCTAAGTCATCTCAACTTTTTTTATACTGGACACAGACTACTGTATCTAGCTATAGTTTTTCACCTGTGCAAGTGTCTTCTCCAGAGTTTCAATCTGCTTAGTGTATACAACTGCCGACTGATCAGCTTCCAGCCTGTCAACTTCCCCTTCTAATCTGGAAAGGGACAGAGTAAGGTTACAATAGACAGAGAGAACTATAAGATATATGTATACATACATATACAATTCTTTGACAATGAAATGGCATGTATGTACACACTTACATATTACATTCAACAACTATGAACATTAAACAATGTTATATGATGCCCACCAATTGAATTCCAATGATACAAGAGTACACCCTACACACTTCCAATTAGGTTTTAGCATTCTGGATTGCACCAGGGTCTTAAACCATAGCCCTTGTACTAATTCCAAATTGAAGCAAAAACTTGGGATTCTCCTATAATGTCTCATCATAAAGCTGCCTGGTATTATTCCTGCTAAAGATGCTTTCATGTATACCATAACACTTGGATTGTTCAAGGATTAGTTAGACAAATTTTGGTTCCTGAAATCAAAGCTCTAAAAGCTATTGCAAATGGTGACAAATGACTATAAATAGGTAAATACAACATGTATGCAGCTATAAAAATATATCTTTATGACATAAATATAATAAGATATATATTAAGATATATATGAACAGTAAAATGACAAAGATACACCACAAAGTAACTTCTTACAATGGCAATATATCTAATGCTATACCAGGTACTGCACCATACTTCACATCCTAATACAGCAATGAGGAGCTACAGCATGTTACTCTTCTTGTGACAGATTGTTTTCATTAACTGTTTACTATTTTGGCATTATATTGATATGACTAAAAAATAGTATAAAGCTTCCCCCTTTGTTCTTTTACTATCTTGGTACACTTCAATCGTGGTTCAACTGGTCTTGTGTACATGCAGGTCTGGCCATTAGCGCGACTTCAGGGCAGAATCAGTCACTTTTGTGCAAAATCTGGGGCTGAGGGGAGCTAGCGATAACAAGATACAGATCGTTCTTTTTCCAGGTACCTCCAGGCTTTCCAGGGGGCAATATTGAATATTGTCTATAATTCGCTTCAAGAAATTATCAATACCTATAAGTCAACAAAAGTTATATCAGAGATTTTACATAAAACATTTAGTATTAATAATCACAAAATTACTTTTTTATTACCAAAAAACAAATAAACAAGAAATGGCTAATTTGAAACTGTGGATCTACACTCATGCCAATGGCCAATCAGACTTGCGTTATGAATTTTGTATCTGATTTATCAGTTTCTGTGTTTCTTTTCTTTAAAAAATATATGGCATAATACACAAAACTATGGTGAAACAGGGAATAAGTCCTTGTGCTATATGTTGCTCCAAAAAAAGTGTTATTCAAGCAAGAGGCATGTGCAGTCTATTATGGTAGTGCTTTTTGCAGTTGAAACACTAAGCCTGGCTGGGTACTTGGAAACAAGCCAGGCCCTAGATGTACACAAGACCAGTTGAACCGTGCCCTTATACAAGCAATATAAGACCCAAAGGTAGCATATCCCTCACTGCTAAATAAACCCACTGTTGAAAGTCACACACCATTTCGAAGCCAGGTAGTTCCTATCCCACAGTCTGCTACACTCTCACACAACCTGGTTGACCATCAAACCCACCATAATCTACTTAAAAATGCTTGCCCAGCTGAACCTAAACAGTGAATCCTGTTGCAACATTGAGGAAGCTATGAATCAGTAATCCTACTTAGCACCATATGATATGAGACTACATTACATAAAGACTACTGTAACAATAATGATCATAATAATAATAATATCAATAACAATGATCCTAATACTGATAGACTAATAACGATAATAACAATTATTATTACAATAATCATTATAAAATAATTATTATTACAAATAATAATAAAAAATAAGAAAATGTCAGCAACATAACAGGTACATAAAAATAATACTAACAGCAACAATGCTAAGTTAAAGCTAATGCCAATGTCAAAAACAAAAACAAAAATCAACTTAAAATGATAATAATAATAATAATAACAAAATTAACATAACAAGAACAAGAACAACAACAATAATAATAATAATAATAATAGACTATACTAATAATAATTGCTAATCAAACAACAACAAAAACAATATCAATAACATTAACAAAGCAATAACAATAAAAACTAAAGTAATAATAATAAAAACAATAACAATAAAAATCAGAGTAATAATAATAATAATAATAACAATCTAATAATGAGGGTGATGATGATGATGATGAATGATGATGATGATGATGATAATAACAACAATAATTCATAACTCATGCTCATAACTTTTTGAGTTATCCTCCTAACCATCCTGAATGCAGATCAAGATCCGGATCACTGCCAAAATTTAATGGCAACTGAATTAGGCTAAGACAAATCTGTTCATAATTTTTTAAGTTATCCTGCTATCCAACTAACCAATGCTACCTAAAAAATAATCTCCTTCGCAGAGGTGGTGGTGGTGGTGGTGGTGGTGATGATGATGATGATGATGATGATGATGATGATGATGATGATGATGATGATGATGATGATGATGATGATGATGATAGATTATCAATAATAACATTAACATCAATATTGATAGATGTATGATAGCAACAACACAACAATAACAATAACAATAACAACAATAATGATAACAATAATAATAATAATAGTAATGATAATACTAATACTAACAATAATGATAGCTAATAATCATAATAATAATAATAATAGGAATAACAATAATAATAACAATAATAATAATAATAAAATAAAAAATGACAATAGCTGATAATAATAATAATAATATTAATATAATAATAATAATAATAATAATATAATAATAATAATAATAGACTAATAACAATGATAATGAATCAATAATAATAACAACAGAAACAGCTTAACTATTTTCAGTAATCATTATCATGATTATCATATTATCATAATAATATACTAGTATCATTACCATTATTAGAATATTATCATTAGCATCATTATCACTGTAATCATAATAATAATTATCAACAATATCATTCTCAATATCATCATTTTCATTATTATTATAATAGTATCAGTATCATCATTACCATTAATATTATTATCATTATTATCATTAATATCATCATTATTGATTATCATTACCATTATCCTAATCATCATTATCAACATTACAATTATCTTCATTATTAACGATCATTAGTCTCACAATATCCTCATTATCATATTATTATTTTTACTATCATTATTATCATTATCATTCCTACTATTATTAACATTAATAATAATATCATTATTATCAACATCATTATCATTAGTCTAGGAGCTTTATTGTTGTTACTATTATTACTATCATTATCATAATACTACTGCTACTACTACTAATAATAATAAAAATGATAATAATAATAACAATTACTATCATTATCAAGTTCAAATTAATATTTTCATTATCATTATCATAACTATCATATCATCATCATCATCATCATCATCATCATTATAATTATCATTGTCATCATCATTCTTTCATTATCTTTATCATCATTATCATTATTATTATTATTATTATTATTATTATTACTATCATTGCTATTATCATTATTTTACAGTTATCATCATTATTCATATTACTATTATCATTACTATTATTACTGATACTATTGTTATCAGTATCAATATAAAAATAATAATAACAATAACAATAATAATAACCATAAGCTAACAATAATAATATCAACACCATAACTAATACTAATACTTCTAACAATGATGATGATAATGATGACAATGGTGGTGGTGGAAGATGGTAATAATGATAATAACAATCATGGTAATAATAGTAACAATAACATTAGCCAATAATCATAATTGAAAAACATAAAAAGAAACAACAATGATGATAATGATGATGTCAACAATAACACACTGACTACTGCAAAGATGTTTGTGATATCTGAAGTAGCTCATAATAAATATGTTGATAATGATGGCTGTATTAAAGTTGATTGAAATAATGACTATGAAGATGGCAATGAAAAATCAAATAGACTACAACAAAAAATATGTCAACTCAATAAGCCTAGTTGTTACTTTATCAAAAGCTACCTCTGTTATCAACATCACTTCCCATAAACTTTGCCTTTTATTTGTCTTGCTGAATAAAACTGATAAAAAATATCTATAATATTTCTATGGTTGTAAAATATTTGGGACAACAAAGCTATAAAAATATGTTACTTTGTATATATTCTTTATTTTTCCAATATATATCAATACAAGAAAAACAAAGAAGCAAAGTTATATTTGGCCTAAATGTCATGTAAGCAGGATATGTAAGAACAAAAGCCCTTTGAAACTATGACATTAGTCAGCAGAAAGTAAAATCTTCTAAAGATATTTCAGCTACAGTATCTCGTCACACAAAAGAAAGCTTATTACACATGTACTTCATGAATCGTAACTAGATATTAAAATGCCTTACCTCGTCTTCTCCTTCTTTAAGGTGTCACACTCATCTAGGAGACTCGAGATCATTTTCATCAGGTTCTCTTTGGATGTTGAAGAGACATCAATTTTGCTGACCTCAAAGCCCGAGTCAGGACTGCAGGCAGTCGTAGTCAAGAGGTCCTCAATTTCTGTTAAAAGGCTGGAATTCTTTATCTCTTGAGGTAGCAAGTGTAATGGAGGCAACTTTTCATCACTGTTTAATGACTCTAATGATTTATTTTCTTCCGTAGTTTCTGCTTCACTGCTGACATCTTTGATATTGTCACTGGTACACTGTAACACATCAACTTGTTCCTCCCCATCTGTGGACTCATCCTCATCTTTATTGTAAGTAAATTCCACAACACTCTCATCCCTCAGGAAACTCTCTGACAGAAGATTGGTGTCTTTCTCTTCAATATCTAATCTCTCTTTCTTACTGACATCTGTTCTGGCAGGAGCTCCTAATAATGTTTCAACCTGCCTCTCATTCATACAACTATTTTCATCATTGCAGACACCACTAGCTTCATTATTCATTGCAACAAAAAGAATCATTTTTGTTCTGCAGTCACCCTATTACACTTATCAACATCATCTTCAGATACATTATCACTTGGGCTTCCATCTATACTATCGTTTAGTACACCAATATTAACATCGCATTTAATTGGAGACACCTCTCTCTCTCTGCTACAGGATGTGTCATTTTGTTCTGATGACTCTGTGCTGCGGTTCTTAACGCAGCCTTTGTCCTCTTCTCCATCTATATAGTCTGAAGCTTTCTGCTCTGACTTTAGCTCATCCATGATTAAAGCTTGATACCTTCAGTCATACAGATTGGTGTTGATCACCTGTAATGAGAACAAACAATTAACAAAAAGTAGTAATATTTCAATGAACATTTCCTTATCATTTAAACTTTACTCTACAAATGCCTCCAAATTTACATCAGTTTTCATATAGAATTCAGAGGATGTTCTGGCCCACCCAATATCCAAATACCCCTCAAGCCAGTGCTTCTGCTTAAGGCGGTTGATCACCCAGGGCACCCAAGACTAACCTGGCACCTGCTGGATACACATGATTAGAAAATGGAAAACTCTGCTCATTGCAAAGGCATTGTGTAGGCATCTTCACACACATGAGATTAATATTATTCTTATTGATATTGAAATGTATTCAAATGTACAATAAACCAAGTCCAGTACAATCAGATATCTGCAATGAAAAACAATACCGTGTTGATAATATGGAAGAAAACCCACAATGCACAAACTAGATTTATTGAGGAAAGTGAGACAACAGTTTCGGAATCGTCTCCGACCCGAAGATGGAATCGAGGACGATTCCGAAACTGTTGTCTCACTTTCCTCAATAAATCTAGTTTGTGCATTGTGGGTTTTTCTTCCAATCAGATATCTGTAAATGCCTAGATCACATCAAACTGAAAAATCAATGCATTGACATTTTTCATGAAATTGTTCAACTGAAAATGCAAGTGACAAAACAAAATAAAAAATAAAGGGCAGATGATTTTTAAATTTGAAGATGAGAAGTAAAACATTGATATTATTCAATCTTTTATATACATCCATTAGAGACAAACTCAACAACAACATTTGTACTAACACATTTAGCTTTAAAAATATGCATTCAATTCATAATAACTTCTCCAACTCTTGATAAGTTTAAAAGATCAGCTAACATATTTTTACTATGTAAATAGCTGATTTTCTATCTTCTCATCCTTTCATAGCTGTATCCTGAACTACACTGATGCCTTTGGTGGTGTAAATTATGATTTTTTCAGTGTAGATCTTTATATGGTTAACAGAAAATAATAATAATAAAAATAATAATAACAAAATAACAATAATAATAATAATGATAATAATAATACTCATCATCATCATCATCATCATCATAATAATAATAATAATAAATAAACTGTATCGTAATACATGATTACATATATAATCTACAATGTAGTCTCTGTTGATATATTTCTTTGTAATCTTGATTTGAATACATCTTTTGATGATACATTTGTACATGGACCTCCTGTATCAATTAACCTGGTGGCTGAAAGGTCCATTCCTGGCAAGTAAGAAAATGCCATGAAAAAATAATTCAGGAACTGAATCATGTGCTTTGTGCACAGTCAGTCATTTCAGTGCAAAATTAGAAATTCATGAAACATACATACATACATACATAAAAAAAAAAAAAAAAAAAAGTTAAAGAGAGGCTTTACACTTAGTTCTCAGAGGCCATATCTCTCAGTGACTGCAGTCAGGGCCAATCAAGTGAACAAATGTTTAGCATTTAGAACTTACAGCAGGCTTGACTGTGTACATGGTTCACCAAGTGCCTGAGCAGATCGTAACAAAATCACAAGATTACATTGTTAATCTACAGTGGGCCAAACTTATATGCATTTCAAACATATTGTCTCTCCCACTTCAAAAATTTCAATTCCCAAGGCTATGATCTTACACCGTATGTGCTCCACAAACAACAACAAATCTTACCAGAATATGAATCAACATTTATTAGAATTTCTCCAAGAGCAAAAGGTGTGAAGGTCAGCAACTGTGGGACTTTTGCTCATATTCTGAGACACTTTGGACACCTTGTATGGAAAGCTTTTGTATCTCCAGAACAGTTGGACCTGAAGTTTCAGCATCTTGTACCACAAGCCAATTACCTTCGAGCTGCCTCATGTTTCAACCAATTGTAGCTGATCAGGATTCTGCCGCCACTTGGTAGAGGTCTACATTTCTGCCCACTGCCTAAAATGGTGTCCAAATTATCTCTGAATATGACCATTCATCTCAGAAGGTGGATCTTGCTTCAAATATCCCTTACAATTCTGCCTCAACAATAAAATTAGTGAAGATATTTTTAAAAAGCTCTCCAAAATATACTCTTAAAATACCAAAACTATTGTTTCATCCATAAAATCAATGAAGGTCCCAAACTCAATAGTGAAAACAATCAATTAATTATAAAAAGCAATATATTCCTTACTAACCCTTCTTATATTTGTCTCCTTTTTATCAATATTTTTTTTCTAATCAAAATCATTAATCCGTTGTCTCCACTCTACCGTATGTCCGGTTTCCCAAGCTTCCATCTCTCGCACAACCTTATTTCGTAGCCAGATAATCACTTACATCTTAAACTGATCAAAATCCCACACAACATAAATAAAATGCGAAAAAAACGCCACCTGACGTGTAATAACTGTAAATAAATGACCTTAATCAGCTGGCCCTTCCATGGCCCTTGACAGCTCTACCAATTTTATTTCCGGTTTGCACACTGGAGACGGACAATTTTGTTGAGACTTCTTTTTTAAATACTCCTTTGAATGCGAATAATTTCCATTCATATACTACAGAGTATTATCTTTATACGAAAATGATAAACCAATTGAAAAGTTACACGAACTATGAAGTGCCAGATTTATAAAAATCAATTGTTTGAATCGAGTATAGAGAGAACAGAGTAAACATTGTCCGAAACCATTACTTTATGCATAAAACTTATCCTTGAATAAATTTCATTTACTTCTGATAAGGCCAAAAAATCAACACGAAAATAAATATGTGCATTATCTCACATTTGGGTCATACAATATCCATCAGTTACCGAAGATGTGTAACGAGATTGAATAATCAATCTTCAAAACATTTTTTTCTCTTAATTCACTATAAAACTCATGTAATATCCTGCAGAAACACACCGACCTTTTTGGCGTATCTTGTAACTTCCTATACAAACGTTTTTAGTTTGTGTCTATGTTTATAGACCACCT